CCGAGCCAATATGCTGGACGCAGCGGCCTGATCAACATCAAAAGGGATGACGCGCTTTTACACTACTTGTATGTTGCAGTAGTCCCGTGGATCGGCCGATCCGCGGGGCGGCGAGAGGGGCGCGTCGTTCACTTCTGGGTGAGCCAGGCCACACATCCTGGACTGCAGCCGGCGTCAAGTTGGACACCCCTCCCGCCGTTCTGGTCGCTCCGAACGGATACAGGGGCTTTGAGGCCCGCATCTACAAGTGTGGAGGACACCAGGCATTATCCCACTGGGAGGGTAGCAAGAAAATGACCATGGAGCCGGCATTGACGTGGGCAAGGCCACCTGGACGTTTCGGTCTCGGGTGGCCCGGTGCTGCGTTTCGACAACACGCCACAGGCATCACCAAGCTGCGCAAACACCTTCAAGAGCACGACAACCACCCTGGCCGTCTGTGAACCAACGGCGGCTAGAACTGCTGCTGACCAGCCGGTTTGCGCGAGACCGCTATTGCGGTGCACGTGGTCCACCCGGCCGGGTGCGCGCTTTTTCGCCAAAGCCTCGGTTACGAGGCCAAGACGATCCACTGGACGCCCAGGTACTCTCCGCTACGGGAGGTTTTTCCGGAGGCGGATACGTGGGAACCGGAGACCGACCCGCCGCGTGCAGAGTTGCGCGACCTGCTCAGGCGGCGGCGGCAATTTGTTGACCAGCGTCCAGGAGTTGGGGCGGCTGGACAAGGGCATTTCCCCGCTATCGCCAAGTCCACCAGGCGCCACATTGCCTGGCTGAGAAGGAGATCGCTCGGCTGTGAAGGAATACCAGGTCAGTCCTACAGGACACTGCCACGCTCGCCGACCGCGCCGCCTGTACCGCACCGTGCCCGGCATCGGGCCGCTAACCGCGCAACCCTGGTGGCTCACCTTCCGACTGGGCCACTGGGATAGCAAAGCTTTGACCTCCCTGGTGGACTGGCGCCCTGTCCCGAGACATCGGCAGAGCGAGGGCATCGGGCTATCAGGGGTGGGCCGGGACTGGTGCGGAGAGCGCTGTACATTGCGCGTGGGCGGTCATCCGCCACGACAGCGAATGCGTTCGTTTTATGGACCGACTTCGTCAACGTGGAAGCCCGGGGAACGTTGCGTGGTAGCGGTGATGCACAAGATACTGCTCCAGCTCAACGCAGTAGCTCGCAGAGGGACGCCGTGGGTGCCACAGGACGGCGTGAACACAATCCTGGACAACCCACAAAAAGGCTTGACTTCGAACACGGATACTTGACGACACTACCAAAGCCCGGACAAACCGATCACTGAGCGGAACTCCAGCAGCCAGTGCCAGCACGCATCTCAGTATAATGCACAACATGCATGGAGAAGACACACCGTTGTAAAAAAGGTTGACTTTAGTCACAGCACCAGAGTCAAAACCAACCGTGCGGCGCCACAACAGTACAAGCGGTCTCCGCCTGCGGATATCATCACCGGGAACGCGAACTGATCACCCGCTCAAGCCACACGCGGCGTGTTCACACGCCACAATCAGACCTGAACCGGATTGGAGTTGGACGTCTCCAGCCTTCGAGCCGGTGCTGTGTGCCGCGCTGCAAGCGTGCACCGTGTCTCAGCTGCCCCGAGATCGCACCCCAGTACGTCCACACGTGCTTCACCCGCTTCCTTGCAGGTACGGTGAAGGCGACCTGGACGCCATTGCCCACGGGACACTCCCGTCGGCGTGGGATGCGCTCCGACAGCGAGTGAACGACGGGCCAGCACCAGGCCGCTGCCTGATGGACACTGAGCCCGTAGCGTTCCATGAACTTCACCCGGCCGATGACCGAACTGTAGGCCGGGTTGACCTGATTGATTTCCACTCCCCGACGATAGCCACGGATACGAAGTACGCTTTGATCTTGCCGCAGGCCTGAACCCACGAATCAGCCTGAGCCGGATTGGATCTGCGTCTCCGCCTCTCCAGCCGGTACTGCGCTGCAAGCGCCGGTCTCAGTTGCCCGAGATCGCACCCCAGTACGTCCACACGTGCTTCACTCGCTTCCTTGCAGGTACGGTGAAGGCGACATGGACGCCATTGCCAACGGGTGCAACCCGACGGCGTGGGATGCGCTCTGAGCAACCGAGTAAACGACGGGCCAGCACCAGGGCAGCCGCCTGATGGACACTGAGCCCGTATCGTTCCATGAACTTGACCCGGCCAATCACCGAACTGTAGGCCGGGTTGACCTGATGTACCTCCACTCCCTCACGGTAGCCACGGGACAGGAAGTAAGCCTTGACCTTGCCGTAGCTGAAGCTCGACAGCATCCGGCTGTACCTGCGGGACGTGCCCTCCAGGACAGCCTTCTTCTGACGAAAGTCCAGCCTCTCGATGACGATGGGCTTGCCGACATCTTTCGCGTACGCCACCACGCTGGCAACAGCATCGCCGATCAGAGCCTCAGCCTGATGAGTGCTCTTGCCATAGGTGACCAGCGGCACCCGCCAAGCGTTCAGGCAGTTTGCCCGAGGCATCGGTCTCCGCGACCGCCAGATGGTCGGCGTTCAAATCGACGCCGATTGCGCCACGCCGCCGGTCAGTAACCACCGGCACGTCCATCATATTGGTGCTCACGAACACCCGCCATCCCCTGCCATCCCGCTTGAAACGGTAGCTGATGGCCTGGCCCAACTCCGTGGATCGAGCCTCCTTTTCACCATGCTGCCGCTGATAACCGAGCATACTCAGAATTGCTCTGAAGCGCAGCCAACACCTGGTCGTGGCCGTAGGCGAACCGCACATTCTCGATCAAAAGGTACTTCCCATGCCGCTCCGCCAAAGAGTCAGGCATGCGCAACCGCAGGGTCAGAGCACCATCATCGGCAACATTCGCAACGCACAGCTGGCAACCCGCCGTTTCATCCCTGCTCCCCAGTACGAAGAACTCGTCGCTCCGGGAATCCCGCCAGTCGCTTAGCCATTCCTCATGGCTGCCATAACCGTTGACCTCAAGGTCATGCTGCTTCCGCCACAACCGCTTCGAGCCGAAGCAGAGCCTCACCCGGCCTGCAGCAACATCAGCCTCCAACCCAGCCAACCTGAATCTCAGATTAGCCAGCCGGCGCCGCTTGTGATGCACCTGATTCAAGCGTCCACGCTCAACAGCCTTGGCAACCTCACCCTCAGCCCGGCCAATCCGGCGCTGAAGGCTATCCCGCCTCAGCCCCATGGTCTTCTGGACAGCGGACACCTTGCCTTCCAACGATACCCGCAGGCCGTTGAACATCCGAGCCGGGATCCCGTATCGTTGCAGGTACACCCTCTTCAGAGACGCAGGTAACTCACCAGCTGAGAAGTCCGCAAACAGTTTACGCTGCACCCGACCGTAGAGCTCCGCGTAAGCGGCCAATGCCGCCTCGCCATGGGTGGGCTCCACATCGCCATAGTCAGCGATCCGGGTCTGATAGGTGCTGACCAATGGGCCGTGCGACGGATTCAAGCCCGTGGACGCTGAGCGACCTCTGTTGCGACGTACCATGATCACATCATACCAGAACTCGTGTTCGTGCTGC